CTATCCAGGGAGCCTGACTGAAGTGGAGGAGAGGTGGGCAGGCTGATGAGCCAGGCTGGCATTTGAGGTGCCCTGAGTCTCCAGCTCCTCTCCAGCTACCATCCATGATATATGTCCCTGGATCCTGCACAGAATAAATGTACTGTTCTCCATCAGTGTAGACTATGCTGGCTTACTGTACAGGACTCAGTTCTAGCCTTGGGGAATCGTTGGAAGGTGGACATAAAGAAAGGAAACACTGAAAGACCACAGATTGTCTGGGGTCGGGAAGGTGGCTCAGTGGTAGAGTGTTTGCCTTGCCTGCATGAGGCCCTGGGTTCGATTCTTCAGCACCACATAAGCAGAAAAAGCCAGAAGTGGTGCTGTGGCTCAAGTGGTAGAGCACTAGCCTTGAGCTGAAGAGCTGAGGGGCAGCACCCAGGCCCAGAGTTCAGGCCCCACGACTGACCAAAAAAACAAAAAAACCCACAGATTGTGCCTTCAAGAACCTCAGGATCGCCGGGCTCTGGTGGCTCACGCCTGTAATCCTAGCTACTCAGGAGGCTGAGATCTGAGGATCGCGGTTCAAAGCCAGCCTGGGCAGGAGAGACCTTGAGGTTCAAAGCCAGCCCGGGCAGGAGAGACCATGAGACTCCTATCTCCAATAAACCACCAGAAAACCAGAAGTGGCGCTGTAGCTCAAGTGGTAGAGCGCTCGCCTTGAGCTGAAGAGCTGAGGGACAGTGCCCAGGCCCAGAGTTCAAGCCCCACGACCAACCGACAAAAAAAAAAAAAAAAGAACCTCAGGGTCTGAGTTAAAGATGCACACACAGATCAACCCCAGGGTCAAGGCCAGGCCTAGTGGAGCTTGCCAGGGACACAGGAGTCACAGAAAGTAGAGCGACTTCCTAGTGACAGATCAAGAGGAAAGTGATTGATTATAGAGTCCCCTCCCCTTAGGTACTCAGCAATTTGGGGACCCCTCCCCTGGATTTCCTGGCCTCATGATCTTCTTTCCTTATTCCCCTCAGAGATAGATGAAGATCGGCTCCCCAACCCACTTCTCAAGGTGAGCTGGCTCCTCCCACTCAGCCCAACCCCCCAAACCCACAGGCAGATTTGGAGATTATTCCTCAAGACTCTGTCCCTTCTAGACCTGGGAGTGTGGCTCAGTCTAGCAGGATGGAAGACAAAAGCTCTGTGTCCGACTTGCAGAACCTTTTGACTTGCACTCCCCCTAGCCCCCCACCCCACCCCCAAAAGTACATGGCTGGACCTATACATATGCCCCCAACACACACATTCTCCCTGCTCTCAGGATAGGGTTAACTGGGAAGAAGGAAATTCCCTCCACGTTCTTCCACATTCTGAAATCTCCCATCTAAAAGCATGACAAGGCAGAAGAGGGGAGCGGGAGGGCCTGGCACCCATCTGTGCCCTATGTCCTTCACAGTCCACTTTGGCAATGTCTCCACGGCAACGGAAGAAGATGACAAGGACCACACCCACAATGAAAGGTTTGGCAGACCCTTCCCAGCCCTTGTCCCCTCGGTGCCTGAAGCTAGGGGGAAGACCCTATTGACCCCTTGAGATGGAGCCCTGGAACTACTAGGTGAAGTGGTGGGACTGAGACCCAAACTCTGCCTCTGAGTAGGGAAACTGCTTAATCTCTACCAAGCCTCAACACTGCCTCACAGTAGCAGATAAATAATGTATGTGGCTAGGCCTTGGTAGTTCATGCGTGGAATCTTAGCCACTTAGGAGGCTGAGATCTGAGGATCTCAGTTCAAAGTCAGCCTGGGAAGGAAAGTTCATCAGATTTACCTCCAATAATTATCTAGCCAAAATACTGGAAGTGGATCTGTTGCTCAAGTGGTAAGAGTGCCAGCTTTGAGCAAAATGCCCAGGCCCTGAATTCAAGTCAGGTACCATCACACACACACACACACACACACACACACACACACACACACACACAAATAAACACATACACCAAAATAATATTAATGATGACAGTGTGTGTGAGTTCATCAGCAGGTCACCCAGCTCACATAAGGTATTCAAATATTTCCTGAATCTAAATTGAGTCTTTTACCCTGCTTCCAAGGGAGACCACATACTCCAGAAAGTTAGGAGGATCTTTTTCTTAAAGGCTCTTTTCTCATAATCCTCCCTTACCTTTAAAAGTAGTACCTGTTGTGATCTAACGTTCTTCTTTCCTTCTTGGCCAGCTAATGTCCCCTCCTTGTTTAGATCTCAGTGCATAGGAAAGACAAACACCCAGCAAGTATGTGCTAAGCTGTTAGTGGGGATGGCAGATTGGGGGGGGGGGGGGGCGGAGTGGGGAAGAGAGACTCTAGGCAGTCATGTCCAAAGTCTGCTCCCTCTCTCTGTGCTCCCAGAGCTCCAGACGATGGTTGAGCATCACCTGGGGCAACAGAAGCAAGAAGAAGCTGAGGGAGCCGCTGGGAGCACAGGGACCCAGGAGTCCTGTCCACCTGGGATGCCAGACACAGGAGCAGCGTCAAGGCTGGGCAGCTCGGGGACAGCACAGAGTATGTACAAGCAGGGAAGGGCGCCCCAGGCCTCCCTGAACTGCTAGGAAACAGGGAAAGAACTGGAGCCTGGCAGAGGTCTAAGAGCAGCCAGGGCTATGGATATATTTGCATGTATTTGAATCTTCTGACTGTATGTCAGGGGGCCCTCCCACCTTGAGCCTCAAAAAGCCTTCTGGTGGCTGGGGGGAGGAGGGGTAGGGCATAGAGGAACAGCCCTCAGCCCTGGAACAGAGCCAGGGCTACAATTCTGGCTCTGCCATTTGCCACTTTACCAGCTGAAGGGCCTTGAGCGAAACTTAACCTTGATCTATAAAATGATAATGTGATAACGGATGGTGCCTATTTTATTTGGGCTGTGGGAATTGGAATGAGTCTGCCTCAGTTCCCTGACACATACAAAACCTAGGGTAGTAGTGTGGTATTCAGCCAATGGCCACCGTCCCTTTTCCCCTGGATGTATTCCAGGATTCAGAATGCTTCCAACTTTATGAAAGTGATACAGAATATAATACTGTATATAATACTCCCTGCAGAGCACCCTGTAATCAAATACATGAATATTTCAACAATCCAATGAATGGTCTAAGTGGGATAAATAAGGACTAAAAATAGATCCGTATCAGTTCAGGTCAGCTCTAGCCACACATAGAGATTGGGCAATTTTTATATACTTTTTCAGAGGCTTTTTCCCCCTCCATTTTCTGGTTGTAGGTTAAAAATAATAGTAATGCATTTTTTTCTTTAAATAATGAATCTCTCACAGTATTTGGGATTAGGGAAAAACCCTGTTGATCTTGCCAGTCTGCACCTGATTCAGCCTGCCATGAGAAGCAGCAGCCCCTTCTCTTCAAGGCTTTTATAAACACTCCTTTCTCTTCCCATTTTCCCTCTTTAGAGCCTGCAGGATCGACCCCCAAAACTCAAGAGAGGTGCAGTGAGGAGGAGCCCTCCACCCACATGCCACCACCGGATTCCCAAGGGGCCAGTTCGGTAAGACACCCCACTCCCTCATTCCCCCACACCCCCACCGCCAGGTGAGCCACCAGGCCTACAGGAGAGCAGCTGTGTGGATAAGCACAAGCAGTAAATATTTGGAATCAGGGGTGGGAGGAGGGGCAGACACAAAGGACCAGCTTCTGTCACTGTAAAGTCAGCCTTATGGTAAGAGGACTGGCATCTTCCTCCCTGACAAAGAATCCCTCCTTACTCCGGTAGGAGGGATTCACATTAAACTTTGAATAGGCCAAGGGCCTACTCACTTGGAACAGATGATAGAAGTAAGCTATAGGATGTTTTTTTTTTCTTTTTTGTAGTCCAAAGGAGATCCTCACTTAGTAAAAGTAGAGGCAGTGAGGAGACTAAAGCACTTATTTTATAATTGTCAGTCCTCACCCCTCCACCACCACCCCCATAATAGGTTGCAGGGGGCAGAGATGGAAAGCCACATCAGAACAAGTGTCCTGAGAAGATGAGTAGTTGTGCAGATCAGAGGAGACAAAGTGACCCTCTGGCCTCTAGGTCACCTGCCCTTTCTGCCCCCTTCCCCACAACAGGTCTGAGAGGAGAAGGTATCCTGGACTCCTGCAGTTCGGGGATGCATGGACACTGGATCTCTTTCTTATTCCTTCACTTTGGGGAAAAAAAAAATCTTGTTTTTAAAAAGTGATAAATTTGCTGTTAGGTCCTTGGCACTTTCCTTCTTTTAAGACTTAGGGAGAATCCTTTCTCCATCCTCTCGTCCTCATTCTCGACAGTCCAACTGCCTAGGGAAGGAAGAAATTGGGAAGCTGGGCAGGAATTCTCCCCTAGTCCAGCCTTCACTGGCTGTGGAAGGAAAATGATGGTCAGGCAGTAGGAAGATCAGCTTCCAAAAGGAAAGCTAGCTCCCCAAGTTCTCCTTTCTCACTGACTGAAAGTGCGCTCCACCTGCCCAGGAAGCTGTGACTGTTTGGGGTGCCATCTTCTGGACAAAAGCAGGAAGTGCATGCTGTCCTGTGCCCTAGGGAAAGATGGAGGCTGGCTGCAAGTGTCTACTCCTCCACCTGTGAAACCACTGTTCCTGATTAGTGGCTGTTAAGAGGCCCTTACTGGCAACCAGGGTTCATCTTTCTCCTTGTCTTAGGCAATGAGGAGCCAGGATAAAATCTAGGCTTAAGTGAAGACATGTTCTTTGATCCCACAGCGAGGCATCTCCTGCTGCCATTTTTTTTTAATTTTCCCAGGTGGTAGAAGGTATGGGAAGGCAAGATCTTTCCCCTTCTTGCTGAAGCTGCAGTGTAAGTGCAGAGATAAAAGAGCAGAGCTTGGGAAGTATGAAGTGTTAAGGTCCCACCCCCAGGCAAGGCCTCCTCTCCAGGCCTTGGCTTGCACAACAGAAGAACCCACCACGATCCTATCAAGCTTAGAAAAGACAAGTGTGTGTATGAAGACTTCCACCCAGTGAACATCACACACACACATAGCCAGCCTGGTCTCCCTTCTTTATTGATCTCTGGCTATAGCAGGGGCCTGGGAGACCAAGGGCAGGGGTGAGTCACATGCGTCTCTGCCCCACTCAGGTGGGGTGGGAGGGACAAGTCTCAGAGTGGCAGGTCTAAGAGACCATGGAGATGGACTTCACAAGAGCAGGGCCCACGGTACAAATGTATGGCCAGTATTTACAAGGAAGGAGGAGGGCAGTCACCTGGACTTTGACCTTTCCTGGGGCAGGGAGGGATCGAGGAGGGGCCTGAGGACTGGAAGGGGCATGGGGTCTGGCTGGGCTCTCCAGAGGTTGCAGCAGCAGCAACAGCAGCAGCAGCAGCAGCCCTGAGCCCCTCCCACATCTGCCTTCCACCCAGCAGTGTCCCAGGGGCTCTTGGTGCTTGTGGCTGAGCCAGTTGGGGGAATGGAGGGGGTGGGGGGAGGGAGGTACCATCTCAGTCAACAATACATGATTACTAGATTATACCTTCCCCTCCCCCACACACCCTGGAGACCTCAATCTGGCTAGACTTTCCTGCCTGTGCTCATAAAATACATCCTGAAGGTGCTTGGCTGGGAAGACCTCAAAGCACTTTACAGACATTGGTCGGATGGGAGCCTCCTAGCTGTAGGGAATAAGGAAGGAGGTCAAGGGCCCCCAACTCTGCTTCAGGGCAGGTGACAAGCCCCAGGAGTCCAGACCAACCCCAAGTTTTCACAGACTTGGGAAAGACCTGCCCTCAGTCCCTGGTCCAAAAGGCTCCTCTCTTTCCCTTAGTCACCCCTTGGGCATGGGAGAGAGGGAAGATTGCAAGGTTGGACGAGGGGTGGGCTAAAGCAGTGCAAGTCTGGGGTAAAGAGGGTACCCGCCACCTCCCCCACCCCGTACTAGAAAGATCCCACACCCTGAAGGACTCCCCTCCCCTCCCCACACAGTAGGGCTTTGAAAACCCCCAGTTCATTATCCCAGGGAGGAGAAGGAAAACCCAGACCTGCCAGCAAAGATCTGGGTTGGGGGGCTGGGGGAACCCCCAAAATGTATTGCTTAGAAACTTGGAGGCAAAAAGGATAGGGGAGGGCCCAGGGGGGCTGGCATCTCTCTGACCCTCCCCCTCTAGGCCCTGGAAAGCCTCTGGAAGCTCCCCCCTTCCCAGGTAGCCATCTGGCCATCTGGGGTGGAGTGGGGGGAGTGTGGAGGCAGGGGGGGATGGGCACAGTGACCACTGGGAGCCTGAAGTTCCCTAGGCTTGCTGCTAGGAAATTAAAGTGCACCCCAATGGATGTCAGGTGAGGAGGGGCCCTTCCCCCAACCCCACAATCTCTGGCATTTGGCCTTTGGGTGGGTTGTCTCTTCCACGACCTCCATGCTCCCTTGGAGCAGATGGGGGAGCCAGTCCCGATGGATGGTGCTAATGACATCAAACACTTTGGACTCAATGAGGACCTGGGGAAAGGAAGAGTGAGATAAGTCAGTTCCCTGGTCTCTGCCTTCATTTCCAGCCTGGCTTTCCCCACTCAGTCTCTAGTTGAGCACAAATGGCCTGGGCTGACACACGTCACTGAGCCAGGAGGCATAGCCCCGCCTCCCCCCCTCCCCCACTCACACAGGGTCAAGTGGGGGAGCCACTCTGCCTGTGCTGTCCTTTCTCCCTGCAGGGACTATAGGGCCAAAGAGGGTGGGAGGATTTCCCTCCTTCCCACCCCACCCTACCCCAGCTCAGGGCTAGCTAGCCATGCCTTTACCTAGAAAGAGAACAGGAGAAACCTCTCGCCCACCACACCCCAGGGAGATGAACGGTAACCATCAGAGGCCACGATGACCCAGCCTCCACCAGCAGCTCACCTGGGCCAGCCCTGGGCTAGTCCAGATTCCCATTCTGGTTGTGCTCGTCTTCTGCCGGGGAGGGCGGGGTCTCTTCTTCACAGGGGGACAGCTCATCAATGGACATCTGGTTGGTGATACCTACAGGAGAGTGCAGAGGAGGCTGACGTTAGATCGAGAAGTGGTATTTCCCCTAGAACAAAGGAGTACATGAAGAAAAGCTGATGATTCTCATCCACCACCCATCTCTGGAAGACCCTTGCAGACACTCACAAGGCAATGCCTCCATGGCAGAGCCAGAGATGCCCAGGCACCATGCATAGGCATCTGGTTGGTTCCATTTCCCACTTCTAGGTGTTAGAGCTGCCCTGGGGTTTCTCTGCTAAATTCTTCTCCCCGGGTTTGAAGGTTCACTGCCCACCCCACCCCCCATCCCAAGGCACCTACCGCTTGCTGCCCGTTCCTTCCATTTCTGTTTGTTCTCTTGAATGTACTTGGTCCAGGTTGAACGGAAGCTGACCACATCAGGGTTGGGGTCTCCCACATCCACGTCTAGGGAAGGCTGGCGCCACTGGAAGCTACAAGCCAAACGCACACATGCACACCCCAAAGCCCAGTTCCAGCCCACGCTTGAATCTGCCTTGTAGGTTCTGAGGAGATGTTAGACCGGGATGAATTTTAGGGGACTGAATTTTCCTGTTTTCCCAGATAGCCACCCCCACCTCAAGTCCCTCTCCCTCTTCCCCCTAATGTACCCCTCCTCCACACCTTCTCCCTTGGTAGAAGGAAAACAAAACCAAGCTTATGTGAAAGGCAATAAAGACCGAAAGAGGAAACAAAACTATGGATGTGTGGAGCCCCAGGAGCAATCCCACACTTCTGATCCCACCCTTCCACCTATGACTGGGCCAAGCAATTGGGGGTGGGCTGCGGGGGGGAGGGACGACTCCCAAACTTGGAAAAGTCATGATCTGCCATGACCTCCTACCCTGAGTCAGTCCTCTGTGTACCCAACTCTGCCCCTCCTCTCCACTCCTGAACCAGGAGATCAAGCGGCCCCAGCCACCCTCACCTGGGCTGGCTTTTAGACTTGGAGTCGTCATCCACCAGGGGCTGGACACTCTTCTCTGCCACATCAGTCAGCACAGAGAATGTAGGTTCCACAATGAAGTCAATGAAGCCTATGGGGAAGGGGACGAGGCAACAGAGATGTCTTACATGGAGAGCAGCTGGACAGAGGATAGAATTGGACAGCCAATTAGGTAGAACATGGTGGAGAGGGTCCTAGGGCTGCTACCTTCCCTGTGGGGATGACTTTAGCTTGTGCCCTTGTGAGCCCAGACCACTGACCTGCTACCACAAGACCCTGTGCTCTAGCTAAGCAGCCTGGCCTCTGTCGGAAGAGCGGTTTGGGGACCGACGGTGTTGGGAGTAATCCTGGCTCAGGCCCACACAGCATCTTTCCCTTTCCCATTCTTGTCCCTATAGCAAAGGACTCACCAATCTGGGACTGAGCCACCAGAGTGGAAGTGCGATCACACAGCGGAGAGAAGGGCAGGCCCAGCTCAGCCTCTTTGTCACCCTGGGGAGAGAGGATAAACTTGGAGAGGATGCCTCATGCCTACCAGATGGGTAGGGGGTTGCTAGAGGGATAAGAAGACAAGAGGAAATTCTGCCCCTTTGACCTAGAAATGGGTGAACCGAATGTAACTATAGGCCACCATTGTTCAAATCTTGAGGTTTTAAATCACACGGGTTTAGGATCAAGTCAGCAGCAAAGGGTAAATGGAATGAAGATCTAGAGTAGCAGTAGGGAACTTGCAGAAGCCCGCCCCCCCCCCCCCATGGACAGGGGATGGGCACAGGTGCCATTCTACCTGGCGGAAGAATTCCTCCATCAAGGCCTTGGTCCAGCGGCTGTGGACAGACCACTGTTTGGTTGGGTGGCTGATGTCAGCAGCATGGAGCAGAAGAGACAAGGCCTTGGACTTGTCAATCCTGGTCAAAGCAAGTATCAAAGAGAGGCAAACTGATCTTTTAGGAAAAAATCAGCTTTAGGAAGAACAACAACAACAAAAAAAAAAAACCTGGCCATTCCCTGACTTCTCAATTATATATCCTCCCTCAGACCCAAAAACACCCTCCAAGGCTCTATACACACACACACATAAACTCACACACACACACACACTCACACACACACACAGAGGTATATGTACAAGTAGCAATATAGGTTTGTAGCTAAGAACCCAGCCTTAACATCAAAGGGCACAGGTTTGAATCCCTACCACACACTAGCTATGACCCTGAGTAAGTTACCTGAATTTTTCATATTTCATTTTCTTCACCCCTACAATGGAAATAACAACTCTGCCACATATTGAATTGTTCTGAGGATTAAATGACAGACAACAACTAAGCAATCATATAATAAGTGCTAGGTAGGTATTACTTCTAATGATAATCATTATTATTACCTTGCCCCCGACAATAGCCTGTTGTAATACTAGACATTCTCCCACTTCAGGAGACACATGCGTGCGCGTGTGGGCGCACATGCACACACACACACACAGAGTTCTGTTCCCTCTCACACACATTTATACACACCCACCCACGTCCAGGCAACATTAGATCTAATTGTGGTGTTTGGTTTGCATGGTTTGGGGCTGGATTTTTTTTTTTTTATCTTTTTAATTTTGTCAGGCATAGGGCTTGAACCCAGGGCCTGTCCACTGTCCCTGAGCTTTTTCACTTAAGGTTAGCACTCTACCACTTTGAGCCACATTGCCATTTTCAATTTTCTGGTAGTTAATTAGAGATAAAATGTACCCCTCCACAGATTTTACTTCCCCAGGCTGGCCTTGAACTTTGGTCCTCAGATCCCAGCCTCCTGAGTAGCTAGGATTACATTCATGTGCCACAGGCATGGTTTTTGTTTGTGTAGGTACTGGGGCTTGACAGTGCCTGAGCACTGTCCCATAAGCTGTTTTCACTCAAGGCTGGTACTCTACCACTTGAACCATAGCTCCACCTCCAGCTGGGTGTTTCTATTTTTAACCGCACACAGCTCTGTCAATGGCCTTATCAGAGTGGGAACTGGTGGTAAGTTGCTGTGGAACATGTTTGGTAAGAACAGCAGAGTCCAGAAGGATTGAATACATTTCCTAACATTCCTAACACTCAGCCCCTCTTTCCTTCCTTACTCTGTCTGGCCTGCAGCTGCAGGACAGACTTGCTAGACTCCACACCCCCAAGCACTCCCCAGCAGATCAGCCACCTAGGCTGTATGTAGTCCTACATTCACATACACCGTGAGCACGTACACAGATATGTTCAGATAGGCATACACAGCCAGGCCAGTTTCAATGGGTAAAGATCTGACAGACCAACTACCCAGTGTCCACCCCAATTCACTTGCCCCACCTCCCCAGTGTCCCAGCCCCTACTGCTTCCCCATGAATGCTACCTCTCCAACTGCTGTAAAGCCGTCTTCATGGACTTCACTTGCTGAAAATGGCAAGACATGTCTGTAGCCAACACCATCTCAATGACCAAGGCACGAAGCTCTCTGTGTGGACAGAAAAAAAATGACACTATCAAGCCCTCTCAGACCACCTGGACAAGGAGCTCCAGGGATGGGGGAACAGGTTGGGATACACAGTCTCGGGAAAGTCATGCTTTCTCTCCTGCTCACACAAACTCGTCCTTGGTGAGATTGATGAAAATGTTCATCTCATCGTCCTGCATCATCCGGAAGACAGAGCTGATGTGGTGATTCTCTAGCACAGAGCGGTCGTTGTACAGGATGGCACATTCTGACCTACAGAGATAAAAGTTATCAGGCCCAGCCCCCCTCAGAACACCACCTGGCTCCTCCAGGCCCCTGCCATGTCCCCACGCGCTCCTCCCCACCCTCAGCTCACTTGGTCTGGATGTGGAAGCTGTTGGTCGTGCCTGTGTGCTCATAATCATGGATGGCTGCAGCAAAGATGATGGCCAAGACCTCAATCTCTGACAGGCAGTGCTAGGAGAAAGAGACAGAGAGTGAGAGGGTTAGGCCTCTGCCAGTCACTGGCCTAAGCGGCACAAGTTAGGCCACTCAGCCCATCTTTGGTGCTTCAAGGCCAGCTGACAGTGAATGCACAACAGGTTATCGCAGTTCCTGAAGTAGCAGGGACCTTCGTCCTTCCCCAACCTGCCCCATCCCCACCGCGTCCGAGGGCATGTCCCTAGAACTGCCCACAACATTTTGGTACACTCAGGTTTTCTGCAGAAGCCTTGAGATGCTAAAAGAAGAGTCAACGAGAGGCAAATGGCCTGCAAAGGAGAGCTGAGATTCCCCAGTTCAGAGGTAGAGTCAGTCACAGGCAGGACCCCAGGGCACCTACCACCATCCCTGTACGCAGCAGGAAGCAGTGCACTGTCTGGGTGACATCAGCTGCGTGGATCTGGTTATGATAAGGGTTCTTGTACTTCCCGTAGCCTGTCTCCAAGGCCTCCAGGAAAGACATCAAAAACACAGTGGGAATCTGCACCAAAAAGGAAAATGTCAAGATATGTCAAGGGCCGGGCACGGGTGGTTCACACTTATAATCCTACCTACTCAGGAGGCTGAGATCTGAGGATCACAGTTCAAAGCCAGCTCAGGCCAAAAAAAAAAAAAAGTCCATGAGACTCTTATTTCCAATTAGCCAGCATAAAGCTGGATGTGGAGCTGTGGTTCAAGTGGTCTAGCACCAGCCTTGAGCAAAACGCTTAGGCCCTGAGTTCAAGCCAAAAAAAAAGATATGTCAGCTATGACAGTGACAGGACCAAGTTCAGCAATCCCCTCATCCTTTAGGAGACAGCATGGCAGCTGGGCACTGGAGAGTCTAAAGCAGAGCATTGAGAGTTCAAGGCCAGTCTTGGGCAAGCTATTGTCTCAAACTGTCACGACTACCAAAAAAGAAAACAGCACAGAGAAAAGTATGAGCTTTACATCCAGGTGAATTTGGGCTCCCATCCTTCTCTCCCAAGAAGAGAGAGCTGCTGGTGTGACCTTGGACAAGTCACATACCTCCTTATGCCTCCAATACTTAATTGCAGGATGAAGCTAATGCCACCTACCTGGAATTTAATGAGATAAGTACAAGGCACTTAGGAAGTGCTCTCTAAAGAGTAGCTATAATTGTGATTATTTCTCTGGAGATTTCTAAGAAAAGGAAAGAAAGCATCCCTCCTACTTTCTAACCACCCTACGTCATCCTCAAGTCTAATACCACAGAGAAGAGCTCAGAAGCAGAGGAAAAAGTAAGATAACCTCACTAGAGGTTGGCCCAAGTGGTAGAGCACCTGCCTAGCAAGTCAAGACCCTGAGTTCAAAACCCAGTAACATACATACAATAAACAAACAAATAAACAAACAAACAAAGTGACCTAGAGAGTACCCTTCTAGCAGCTGTGTGGATCATCCTCTCTTCTAAGCATGCAAACACAACCCCACCAGTTCACACACACACACACACACACACACACACACACACACACACACACACACACACACGAGACCAGGAGCAGCCAAACACCAGTGGCTCAGGTCTTCAATCCTGGCTATTCAGGCTGAAATCTGAGGATCCCAGATAAGACAAGGCCAAGAGACTCTTATCTCCAATTAACCAGTTAAAAAAAAAAAAAGCTGACAGTAAGAAGTGTGATTCAAGTGGTAGAACGCTAGTCTTAAGCAAAGATGCTAAGTGAGAGTGAAGCCCAGAACCAGCATTAAAAAACAAAAACAAAAAAGACCAAAAGCAGAGATCTGTCCAGCTACTCTTGATTCTTCCCCCGGCTGTATACATGCCCTGGAGTATCTCCGCATCCTCAAGACTCCCAGAGGGTGGGCTGGTATGCACCTTTACCTACCCCTGGATGTCCTGAGGCTGAAGGAAAGGGACAAAGGTTCAGGATTTGGGGAAGCTTCCATCAAGATGAGCTATAAGAATAACAGAAGACACAGACAATGTGCCACTGGTCAGAACCTAACCTCCCCCACCCCTACCCCTGGAGGGCTGTGCCCCAAATTCAGGAAATTTTAAAGGACGGTTTCCATGACAACTGCCATTGCTTTTGTGTTGCCATGGCGTTCCTGTGGAAGGAAAGGCAGGGGAATAAAAGGAGCTGGGGGACCCAGGAGAAGAAGAGCAGATCCCAGTGGAAACAATAAGCACCTCCCTTTCTCTCACTGCCTTAGAACAGGAAGACTGGTCAGACCTAACCCAGCACAGCTGCTCTAGGGGTTCCCCAGCACCCAGTCATTCCAGGTAAGGAAGAAAGTTTGGCAAAGGCTAGTGAGTGATGTAATCTGGGTACCAGTGTGGAAGAACATGGGCTGAGTAAAGTAAGAACCCTGCTATTATTCTCTGGCCTGCAGAAGGCAGGACTAGAAAGAAATAAAATACCAAAGGACAGGAAGACACTGAAGGAAATCCCAGCTGAGTGCCTCAGAAACATTACAGAAATTCTCTTGGGATTTGTTAGAAGAGGAGGGGTCAAGGATCAAAGGTCAGAAAGACAAATAGTCTGTTCTAGCAACGTGAGGCCAAGAATGGCTGGAACAACTCTTCTATGTGGACAGCTCTCATTGCTCATCACATACATACACATTTCCCTTCACCTCTAACATCTACCCAGGTACCCTCCAAATATCCAACCCCATACTCATCACTTGGTTTTCCCAGGTGGAAATGTTTCTTTCTGGCCCTGATCCATCCCCTCCTCCTAGTGCCAGCTATGAAGAGGTCTTATATCCAGATTATCCTTCCAGTACAGCTGGAGAGCAAAACAGAGCTCACAACCCAGCAGGTCCCATACAGCCCCACCCTAGTCCTGCCAAGAAATGCCCCCACTCCCACCCCTAGGAAAATCCCAGGAGAAGAGACCAGAGGTGAAGGGCAGGCCTGTTTTGTTCGCTCTTCTCTTCCCTGACCTCAGGAAACAAATAAGAGTGACTCCAGTCTCAAAGGCTCTTGCTGACAGCATTGGGCTCCAATAATCCACAAACAGGAGAGGTAGAACTGCAACTAGCCCAGACAGAACTAATCAGGGGAAGGCAAAGGAGTGAGCACAGCATCCCCGCTAAGCACCTGCAGACCTATAACCTTTCCCCAGGAAGTGATAAGTGAAGTCAGAGACTACACCAAGTACCAGAGAGGTTAGACTGGGTCAAGCTCTAGAGACTTCTTTGCCACGGAAGACCGAATGAAAACATCATGGAATCTACTTGTGGGGAATGTTCTGGAATATGAAGGAGAGGAGGGGCAGGAGGCAGAAGTAGGATGCTGTCCAACCTTGAAGCGGCTAATGAGGTTATGGCGAGTCAGCAGCTCAAAAACAATGGTCCTCAGGGCGTGGTCATCTGCTGCCCGGTTCAAGGAAAAGACATCAAAGCACCAGAGGTCCAGGTTCTGCGGAGAAACAGTGGATTATGTAGGGAGACTCTCTTTGAGACGTAAAGTTAAACTTCAAGGAGGGATTCCCAATGATTACAGAAACTTGGGAAGCAGAAAAACAAAGAGGTGGTAGACTAGACCTCTTTCTTCCCAGGTATATCTCAGTATGGAAGGATTTTGCCTCTAGAGCTGGGCAATGGTTGTTTGGAAGAACATGGGAACAGCAGTTAAAAAGGAAAGCATGGGGGAACTGATAGGCAGATAGCAGAGGTAACATATGAGAGATAACATGTGGCCCTTCGTGGTGCTTCTTATTCCTATACTGCCTCTAGTTACCATCTAAATTCTTCCTCTTCCCATAATGTTCTGGGTGCCCATTCAACCAATGAAAAGATCCGGGCACCGCATACACAGGCCATCAAGCAATGAATGCAAAGCCCAAGGGAGGGGCTCTGGGAAGAGACTGGGACTATAAAAACCTCCTACAGACAGGACTCCATTGAACCCCCTGGTCTGGGTTCCTTCTCTTTGGAGAGTCTCTCTACTTTTGTGGCTTTCCTTTAACTTTCAAAAAAAAAAAGAGGGCGGGGATGAAAGGAAGAAAAAAGGAAAGGAAAGAGGGTGGGAGGGAGGAAGGAAGGAAGGTAGGAAGGAGGGAGGGAGGGAGGGAGAGAGGGAGGGAGGGAAGGAGGGACGGAGAGAGGGAGGGAGGGAAAAAAATCACACCATGTAAACAGAGCTTTTCCAACCCCCATCCTTCTTGATATTCCAAAACCCAGGGGTTACCTTGAGACAATTGTGGACTGCCGTGGAGTAGGTGGGAGCCACAGAGGTATATGTTCTTCGGAACATCCTAAATGAGAGAATGAAATCTATAACATCTGGGGAGTAGACATCTGATCAAGTAAGTGGGTCTAAATGCATAAGCCATGATCATGGAATCCTATGGCTGGTGAGGTCTTAAAGAAACACAGTGGCTGAAAAGAACACAGTAGAGGCAAAGGAAGACCAAGTACTGGCAAACCTTACCGCTCCACGAAGATTCCAGCCTGCACAGCATGCACGATGCTTCGGAACTTTGGCTTCTCCTCTGCCCTGCGGCCTTTGGCTCGGGTCTGCTGGGTGAAGGTGGAAGCCAGCCAGTCCCGTACCTCTGAAGGTACGGCATCTGACCGTAGCTCCTGCAGCTCGTCCTCTGTATCCAAGATTTGCCTGGGATCCAGAAGGGAGAATCATAGGAAAAAAGATGGCAGGTGTTTCCATAGCCTAGAGACCCTGCACCCAGCCCCAACCCAAAATAAGTAATGTTCCTACCAGCTTTCTCTGTCATGATCTTCCTCTCCTTTCTCTTACTATATCTGTGTGTGTGTGTGTTTGTACACACACGTGCACACACGCCAATCCTGGGTCTTGAACTTAGGGCCTGGGCGCTGTTTCTTAGTTTTTTTGCTCAGAGCTAACCACTTGAGCCACAGCTCTACCTCCAGCTTTTTGGGTGATTACTAGAAGGTAAAAATTTCCTGGTCTTTTCTGCTCAGGCTGGCTTCAAATCTCAATCCCCAGATTTCAGCCTCCTTAGTAGCTAAGATTATAGGCCGGAGCCTCCGGTGCCCAGCCTCTTACTATATCTTTTTCTGTCTGGATTGCTATCCAGCTTCTTCGCTACTCACTGTGTGAGGTATCAAACAGCCTGTCTATGGCCACATTCAAGCAGACAATGAATTATCATCTGCCAGAGTGTTACAGAATAGAACTGTCCAGTAGAAATAAATTGCAAGCCATGTACATAAAAAATTTAACATCCTAAGAGTTACATTAAGAAGACAGAAAGAAACTGATTAAAAAATTTGTTTTCGTGATAAATTTTATTTAAATAAATACCTCCAAAATATTATCGTTTCAACATAAATCAACATAAAATACATCAATGACAGATTTTTACACTTTTTTTTCTAAGTCTTCAAAATCCAGTGTGCAATTTACATGCATTATATATGTAAATTATTGCCACATGGCAAGTACTCATCAGCTCTGTGGAATCAGAGGCTCCCAAATTGGCCAGCACAGGTCTAGAAAGGTCTTCTACACTGGGAAGGTTAACATTAGATGTGCTTTAGGGTTCCTTCCAACTCTGAACTCATTGTGTGTGTGTGTGTGTATGCCAGTACTTGAGAGCTTGAACACAGGGCCTGGGTAATGTCCCTTCGCTTTTTCTGTTCAAGGCTAGCACTCATCCTCTCCTCCACACTCCTGGTTTTTCTTTTGCAGTACAGCATGTCTCTCTGCCTCTTCCTCTGCTCCTCTATCTCAGCTCAGAGCCCTTTCTACCTATCCTATCCTCTCTCTTTCTTCCTGTCTATTCCCCCCACACATCCCTCATCTCCAGCCTTCTGGAACCCTGGCTACCTGCTATCTTTCTCCTTCTCTGTCTATAGGTCTCTCTCACCGTGTCTCATCAATATAGACGGCCTCCAGTAGAGATGCTGTGTATTCCAGGTTTTTCTTCAGCTCCTCAATGTTTACCTCCCCATTCTCCAACTGCTTCACCATGTAGCGCAGCCTGTGAGGGTGTAGGTACAGACATCCTGCTTAGATACTGTTCCCTTGTCAGGAAACCACCAATAGGGGACACTCTACAGAAACATCCTCAGTCTTCCATTCACTCGTTAATAATTTGAAAATGAACAATAAGCAGCTAATGCTTTTCCTCTCGGGCTGTAGGTGATGCCTGTAGTACATTCTCTCCCCACCCCCACAAAGTTTAAGCCTAGGCTTTTCTGACCCCATCACTCCATCTACCATCATCTGATCTCTCCACACGGTCCTTCAACCAGCAGCTTTTGCAAACTCTTGCTTAGACTGCCTGAGCCCCACAAAATCAGGCCGATACAAGCCACTAGGGTAATGTTTGGGAGATGATTTGTTAAATAGTCTGAACACTGACCCACAGGAAGGGGCTTTGGGATTAACAGCAATGAAAACAGCCCCCTGGGATCAAGGCAGGGAAGGGGAGCATGGCCCCAGCCCCTCTGTCCCTGGCAGAGATGGCAAAGACACAGAACAAAGCCCTTTCTGAATGCTTTCGCCTGGCCTCACTCCACGCAGGCAGAGCTAATGGATTATGATTCCAGAATCCATCAGCCAGGACAAAGCTGGTTAACCCCTGCCTGCCTGGGCTTGTGACACACAGAGAGAACCTGGCCCATTCTCTGCCAGCGGTCAAGTCCAAGCTCCTCCCAGGCCAAAAGCAGTGAGATAGCTCCAGGACTCTCAACTCACTGGATGTTTTGCCTGAACCGACCATCTCCTCACATTTTACACGTACAGATCTGGGGTGCAGAGGGGGGTGGTTAGGAACTAACTGAGAGGTTTCTGAGAAGTCTAGTCTATCCAGTTCAGGCAGGCAGTCACAAAGCAAATAAAGTTCCTCTAGTTGTAGAGGGTGATTTAAAAGAGAACCACAAAACAGGCCTTTTTCTCTGCTCTCTTCACCCTATCCCACCTCACCTGAAGCCAACTCAAGGGTGAAATGGAAGCAATTATAATCCCCCCTGAAAGGGGCTTCAGAAACCCAAGGTCACTCTCTGAGTCAGAGAAGAGAATGAGTCAGGAACCAGAGGCTGAAATTAGCATCAATTCCCAGGGATGCTGGGGGGAGGGAGAGCAATGGCATTCCTGAACAGAAGCAGCTCCAAAATCCTGGGGGGGGTCTCAGCAACTTTGGAATGGGGGGGGGGGAGGTTGCAGCCCCAGTAAGTATCACAAGCCAATTCTCATATCAAAGCCCAGCAGCTCTGGCCCACATGTCTGAGAGCAAATGGGGCAGAAGGGAATGGGGCAGAATGGGAGAAGGGGGAGCAGAAGTCTTCAGCGGGCTACGTCCATCCGTCACATCTCACTTCCAGCTGCCTCCCCTGCTGCACTGTTCCATGTGGACCCAGCAGGTTGTTTAACAGGAAGAAAGGAAAGAAAGATTAGGAAAGCCAGCCTCACTCCTGATTCAGTAGGGAAGGAACAGAGAGAGACAAAACATAGGCAGTCTTCCCCAGCCCAATGAGGTACACCCCTGCCTTTGAGGCCCAGGTACTAGCTGAGTTTTCCATCTCCCTGTCATGTCCCTTCTCCCATCATGACCTGGGACCATGAAATTTAGGGATACACAACACAGAAAGAAAAAAGAAAAAAGACCTCCCCTCCTGCCTATGGTTCCATCTGTCCCCCTTGTGGCCGCCCATCCTAATCTTCCACTTCAGTCAACTCTTCTACAACCCCAAATCCCATCCTCAAGGGTCAGTGCCCACCACCAAAGTTGTCCCAGTTCCTAAAACACCTCTTAAAGCACTCATCCATCCCAACACTGGCTCCCAAGTGAACAGCCACACCCACACGGGTGCTCATTTTCATACATTTGCATAATCTCTAACAGTGCTGCCAGCTCCACTTTCTAAAAAGCATTTTTTTCTCCTACATTATCTCATTTTATCCTCACAATGGGCCTATGAGGGAGGGAAGTGGAGAAAGAATTGCAAACTACATCTCCAATGCAAAAAAAAAAAAAGACTCAGGAGAAAGCTTTGGCATCAGATGCTTCTCTGCAGTCTGGAAGGCTGGAATCCTAGCTTCAAAGCCATCTCTCCCTGTGGTGAGTTCCAGGGAAAGTCACCAACTTTTAATCAGCCCTTATTGTAAGGTAGCCTGGAGACTACCAGCACACCTGTCACCTTGGATACCTGTCAAAATGTAGATTCTAGACTTTGATGCACACCTACTGAATCAGGACTTCTGGGAGAATAGTTTGCGGGGGGGGGGGGGGGGTGCACTGAAACTGGGGCTTGAACTCAGGGCCTCACATTCTTGTTTAGCTTTTCACTCAAGGCCAGTGCTCTATCATTTGAGCCACACCTCCACTTTCTGAGTTTTGCTGGTTAGTTGGAGATAAGAATCTCTAGGATTTGTCTGTCTGGGCTGGCTTCAAGAACCTTCATCCTCAGATTACAGGAGTGAGCCACCATTCCCACAAGTTTATGCTTTAAACAAAAACAAAAAACCACTCCAGACGATTCTAGCTCATTCTAGAGTTTGAAATTTTTTACTGTAGTGCCTCAGTTTCCTCATTTGTAGAACAGGATGATAATCAAGTAGCCTTGCATGGCTATGAAGAGAATTAAATGAGGATTAAATGTAAACTCACACTTACAATCCTACCTACTCAGTCGACTGAGATCTACAAAGCTGGAAGTAGAGTTATGGTTCAAGTGGTAAAGTGCCAGCCTTAGTATACAAAGAATTCAAGCCCCAGGATAGGCATGGGGGGAAGAAAGATAAAATGAAATATTATGTGCAAAAGAAGTGGCATGTATTAAAGTTCTCTATAGGTTTTGAGTAGGAATTAACTAACTAGCATCATACTAGCTCCACAAAGCTTATGTTGCACTCCTTTGAAACCCAACAAGCACCTGCCTGCTCTACCCCAGTCCAGCACAACAAAATACAATCTGGATAGAGAAGGTGATGAGGAAGTCCCTCAACAGAAGAAACAAGAGTTGAGAATGCCTATGATCTCTAATAATAATAATAACCTCATATGATTTTCACAAGCTATGAAGGAAGCCAGTGACTTGTCCAAGGTCATACAGCTTGCTGATCTCATTCAGCTTGGCAAGGCCTACAACTCAGGCTAATGGCACCTGCTTAGGTTCCCACACAATGAAGGTGTTAGGGCAAAAGCAGCTCAATCCTGTAATTAGCTAGGAGAGAGGCAACCCTAATTCTACCAAAGCCTCTGCAGCCACAGGCAGTTCTGTCCTGAGTGTTGTGCTTTGGGCTCTGCAAATAGGAGCAGGAGAGACAGTGAGTGTCTGGAAGGTACCGACAGTGCCTGGTTTATCTTGGCCTCCATATTCAAATGCACAGTGATCAGTGAAAGTTCCACCAAGTAAGCACCAGGAAACAGGAGCAGACTAATCAGGAGAGATGCCACCAGTCAGAGCTCCTCATAGAGATTCTGGAGCCAGGACTTTCAAAATGCTAATGGTGAGCCTGGGTAGAAAAAAGTGGAGGGCTGGGAAGGTGGCTCAGTGGTAGAGCACTTGCCTTGCATGCCTGAGGCCCTGGGTTCGATTCCTCAGCACCACATAAGCAAAAAGAAAAAAGCCGGCAGTGGCGCTGTGGCTCAAGTGGTAGAGCGTTAGCCTTGAGCTGAAGAGCTGAGGGACAGCACCCAGGCCCAGAGTTCAGGCCCCACGACTGGACCCAAAAAAAAAAAAAGAAAGAAAGAAAAAAGTGGAACCCTTAGTTGACTTTGAACTCAGGGCTTCTTCCAAGTCCCTCCCCTTCCCTCACCTCTAGATCTCCTCCAGAAGCTCTTATACAGCTTCTGTTGAAGTCTGAACCAAACACAACCCAGACACCAAAAGGAGGGGAGGCAGGGGAGGAAGGAAAGAATAAAGAATAAATTTGACAAATGAAGAGTCCAAGAAGAGCTGGACTCAGACAACTGAAAGACTCCAGGTGCTAAACTGCACCCTCCTAAAGTCAAACAAACGCTCACACACATATATGCCTGTACACACTGATGAGCATGCATGCATGCGCGTGTGCGCACACACACACACACACACACACACACACACACACACACACACCATACTCTCTGGCCAGCAAGGCCTTTCTTGTGCCAAAGTCTTTCAGAGCTAAGATCTTCCCAGATCCACCCAAAGTCTTCAATTCACTGTTCTGTGGGAATACTCTCTACCCACATCAGTTTAAACCACTTGTGCAAAAACCTCCAAGAATCTGGCATGGGAAAGATCCCCTTTCCTGTAGAAGTAGATGCTCAACCCCAACCAGTCCTCATTCAGCCCCAGGAAAAACTAGAAGCTTTACCACCTACCAGCATTACTATCTCCTTTATCTTCAGCCCCTGTCCCAGGAAAAAAGCCATAGGACCTGACCCCTATTGTCTTCTAGAGGCCCCACTGTCCTCCAGCCCTAGGAAACCAGCGGGAAGATAAGACCAGCTGTTAAAAAGCAAACAAACAAAAACCAATTCTTCAGAAGAGCCCACCTTCCCCAGTTCCCACCACAGGCGACTGATGATCTTGGGATTTCCATAGATCCCTGCCTCTATTTCCAGTATTCACACTCAAAAACAAACAAAAAACCCTACTTAGGAAGTTTGGAATAAGACAGTCTAAAGTTAGAAGGCTAATTTGGGTTCTTAAAGGGTGTGTGTGCATGTGTGCCTCTGTGTGTGTGTGTGTGTGTGTGTGTGTGTGTGTGTGATTTCAAGGGAGTGTGAGGTCCTAAGAATGCTTTGGATCAGGAAAGGAAAGTATGGGAAACGCTGCAAACTCATTTGTCATAGCGAAAAGGAATCAGTAAGAAGGAAAAGGAGATGAAAATGGGAGGATAATAAGGTAAAGAAAAGACACTAGAAGCCGGCTATTGGTGGCTCATGCCTACAATCCTAGCTACTCAGGAGGGTGAGATCTGAAGACTGTGTGGTTCGAAGCGAGCCACTTTCCAGGAAGCTGACTTTTCGGGCAGGAAAGTCCCCAA